TAAATTGAATATGTTTGACAATTTGTTGTTTATGCCATAGAAGCTGAATTCATCTTCTACCACAAAATGTCATGTCATTGCACTGTTTGTATTATGCAAAATATCATACCTAACATAACACCTATCACAACCATATGTAGCCCATTGGAAATACATGTAGCAAATGATGATAAATCTCAACTTGTTAGCCCACAGCATTCAATATGACGGGCAGGTGTAAGATAGAAGTATAACAGGAGATGAATTTGATACAGAGCTGGGAAGGCAGCCAAGGTATTGTCTGGTGTCCTGCCATCCATTTCCATGACAGACGTCAAGGGCACTGTGGCTCACAAGCCAGACGTCTCCTGTCTGAGGTAACACACAGATGTGCATGAAGCATTCAGCGTTCAAGAAGTTGCAGCATGTGATGATATTTATGCATCAAAAGTGAATAAACTTCAGATAATACAAAAAGTGTAACATGACTTCAAGAGCTAAACAAAGCTTATCTATTAAAGATCTTAATCATATGTGAAGATCACAGTGTCCTCTACTAACCCTTTGAGAAAACTGCACTTCCAAAATGCAGGCCTGCTTGTTATAAGTAAAGTCTCTTCTTAAATTAGAATGGGAGGTATAGAGCCCCTCAATAATCAGACAGCTCTACTGTTGAATCATCCATCAGCTTTAGTCCAGGAGGCAGACAGACACCCTCTCTACTTTTAAGAGTAAGCTTCAAACTCTATCAAATTTGATAAAGCTTATAGTAATGGCTGGTGCAGAATGACCTTGGACCCTCCCCTATAGTTTCACTGTTATAGACTTAATATGCTCAGGGACTCAATGCATTAAGCTCCTGTCTCCACTTGTATGGATTCATGTCCCATCACTGCATGAAACTTGTGTCTTCTTTGTAGTTTTTGTGCTATAGTCTTAGTGTCACGTGCAGCCTCCTGCTGCCGTTATGACTCATAATTATCTGTCATGTGTTTATAATGAGTATCATGACAAGGATTGCTTACATTTGATAAACTAATTAACCGTATTGTTTTTGCAGTCTCTGTCTCTTTGGCCCATGAAGATGGCTGACTACAGGTAAGTTGAGTCCTGCTCAGGTTCCTGCCTGGTAAACTGACTTTTTTTCTCTGCCACTGGTTGCCATTGCTTGCTCACTGTCGAATTAAGTCAGGTCCTTTTGTAATTTTACAAGAAGAACAATCTTCTATATGTAAAGTTTCATTATAAGTTCTTGATTTGGGACTGCATGGATAGAAATGTATCGATTGTATGATTTAAAAAAACTGAAAAACCTTTGTAAAGTTAGCTATGATGTTTCATTTCATTTCATTTCATTTATTATACAGGAAAGTTTAAAAGTAACATTAATTTACAGCTTAACGGGCCTGACTCAGTTTAAAAAAACTTGTTTTCCAGCAGGTTCTTGTTCTGCAGAACATGAAACATAAACCACCAGTCATGACACATCAAGACAAACACATTTACAGGACATTAGCATGAGCTAGGCAAATACAGACAAATAGAAACAAACAGTACAGATACTGCGAACAATACTTGAACAACACATGAACAATTAATGAGTGCAGGTGTAAGTGTGGAGAAGGTGTCGTTGTTTGTATTTCTGAAATATGAGGTAGATGGTAAAGATGTTGTAATTTACATAAACTCCAAACTGAAGGCTAATGTGTTGTTTTCTTAAGTACACATTTGTAAATAGGACAAGATTGCTCAGGTTCAAACACAACTTAATACTTTAATCTCAGTGTTGTAATTCTGGGAGATTACTTAGGTTAACAGGGAGGGGTTTTTCTTAGTCCCTGTTTTTAAAAGTTAAAATTTTGAGTTACGATTTCACAAACATGCACATCCCCGCCAAACTCTCATGTGCCACTAGGTCCAATCCAGCTGTGTGTGGGGGGGGGGGAGAGATTTCCCAGATGTTGCTGTCACTGCTGCGTTATGTAAGCGAGTGTAACGGGGAGATTACCCTTACAGTCACATGGGGCAGGACCGCCGGGCTCAGCACTCACACACAAACACAGACAGATAGTGGATTACCCAAAGAGAGAGTTGCAGGGTAAAGCTGTCTTTTTTAAGATGAGCTTGTGACATTTCTGCTTGTGCTGGACATGGTGGGACAAAAAAAAAAAAAACACACACACACAAAAAGGCACGTGGTTATTGTATGTGATGGATGAGTGGCAAAGTCAGTACCTTACTCTGCTGACTCCTAGAGTATAAAGCTGTTTAAATCCTGGAAATAAATGGGTTTGAAGCGTGTGGCTGAGCCTCACTGTTTTGTTTTTTTATACTGGCCTATTAAAGTGCTATCATGATGAAGTGGTTTGAGTTATGAGTTCAGTCCCACAAGAACCTTAAGGTCCAATGCAAAAACATGCAAATACATTTGTATGTTTCCCTTTTTCAAACAGGAGCTTTCAGGAGGGAGAGGAAATCCAACTTCACTGCCGGGCAGCTGCAGCTATTCTGCTCCATAAATAGCTGCTGGAACACATTGATTACAGACGATCATTATCATTTGCCATTTGCTTCTCCCGTCAATGGGGAAAGGAACATCAAGTCAGTGTCTTCATTCATACACAGCATATTGAATCCATTTCTGAAAAGCGCACAGTGCAGAAAAGCTTTCAAGATACTTAGTCGGATTTCAAAGGTTTGAGCATTTCTCATCCTTCCTGTGTGACGTCATATATTGTCTGTGCTTTAGCGACTGATTGGGATGTACTGCAATGAAGTCTCAGAGGAGGTGGTGGATTCATCGCAGGGAGGGAGCCACTTATGCAAGGATGACCTCACTTTTTGTGAGATGTCTTACAAGGGAGATGCTGGAAATGAGAAGCATCGCTGAGAGGTTTAGAAAAGGGGAAGGATGCCAAGGAAAATAAAAAGTCCATGCAGGTCTTAATGTTTCTATCTTTAATCTAAAAAGTAGCCCGGAAAATGAGAGTACTTGAATGAGCAAGGGACAGTGAGTGAATACAAAAAAGGACCAGTGTTTTTGCTAATGCACAGCGAGGAATTGCCCGAGGAGATGAGAAACTAATTCCCTCTGGCTGGCTTAAGATATCTATAACAGCACTTGGAGTAAGCAAATCCAGTTGAAGTCTCCACCCTGTTGGCAAAGAGAATTCTCCCGTTTAAAAACTGCCTAGTAGGCAGTCTAGAGATATGACTCAGAGCCCTGCATTATTACTTTTTGGTGTATATTGTATTAGCACTTTGCAAAGCTGTGAACACTGCATCACTGCAATATATACAAAAAAGCAATACATGATGTTAATCACTGAATAATGAAACCTAAGTTTAGCAAAAAGTATGCTTTCATCCTTTCCTTAGATACACTCAGTAACTATACATGACAACTCATCTTCTAAAAACAGTCATCACAAAATGACTGATGCCAACTACACAGATGACCAACAGGATGAAATGTGGCCCTTTCTATTCAAAACTCCATAGAAGTTTGAAACTGACTCAGCATGAGAAAACAGCCCTAAAGTGAAGCTTGAAAAGGGAAATCAGACATTATTCATTTTATTGTGGAGACCCCAGGGCTGTGGGGTAGGCTATGTGCCAATTGAATATATTACAGCATTGCTCTAAGTTTACATAAATATATTTTGTACACACATTTTAGACTGATTCAATATAGGACTTTTTATTTTATTGAATTTAAACTGATTCTTACAGCTTCATGAGAATTATATCATAAAGAGTGTGTTTTTTCCCTCCACATGTGTTTGAACATTAAAGGTGCACTAGGAGTTTTTATTTAGAGAAATATGAAGGTTGGAGAAGTGTACAGATTCTGTGGTATAAGTTCATAACTCTATACGCAAACTGTCCTCAGAGGAACATTTGTTCCCTGTAACACTGTTTGAATATAAAATGCTTTGTGGGAAGTTATGGTGGGGGGGGCCCGGCAACAGTGAAAGCATAACTCTCCTGGTAGCTTTTTAGCTCCATTTTTTCCATGGAATGAAATTTATGTTTTAAGTTCAGAAAATATAGCACAGAATTGTTTCACTTCTCCAACTTTCAAATTTCACTACCAAATCTACACAGTGCACCTTTAATGACATGGTGCATTTCAATAACACAGGGACTGGAATAAAAACAAAGATATGGGAAAAGGAGAACTCCACCTATCAAAAACAGCATAAAATAACAACAAATATAATCGATCATTATTATTAAAGATATAAACAATATAGTCTATCTATTTTCAAATAAAATGTGTGCAGGATCCTATCATCTATATATCTATCTTTTGCACTATCTGCTTTTTAAACATTGCTGTACATATATAAACAACACACTTCAGATATATTTTTATATTCCGGTCTAATTATAGACTTTTTTTCCTTACTGTTTATAGATTCTTGTTTAAATACACATATATTTTTATCCCTGCACGGGTTATGTACATTTCTTGTATAAGTCTATTTTTTAATTGCACAGTTTAAGTTTGATTCATCTAGGGGGATTCTTTAAATCTTTTTTTTTCAGGTTAATATATATGTATGGGAGGAATGGGGGGGCGTTGGTTTTGTGGTTTCATTTGTAACAAATGTCTCATGTCATGTCTTTGTAACCTGCTACTGGATGCTTTGAATATCTATCTATCTATCTATCTATCTATCTATCTATTTATCTATCTATCTATCTATCTAGCTGTTATTATCATATAAAATGTGTGCAGGACTGCAGATATTTCCTAAGGAGAGAACCAAGTTTGCAGTTTTGAAATTTGAATATTCTGAATATCCTATCATCTATCTATCTATCATTTGCACTATCTGCTTTTTAAACATTGCTGTACATATGTATGTATGTATATGTTTGTTATTTGTGGAAGCAGACAGACAGGGGGCGTTGAGAGGCCGCTGGAGAGAGTCTGTGTCTGCACTCTGTGTGTGCGTGTGTGTGTGCGTGCGTGCGTGTGTGTGTGTGTGTGTGAGGGGGAAACAGAGCAGAGATGTAGCGCAGCTCTCCGTTTTCAGCCGTCTGTCACTTTTTTTTTTTACCGGTGGGGGATTATATGTTTGACATCACCGCGGAATGAGACAAAGAACGGATTTATATTTTTTTGCACACTTAACACTTGACGAACGTGTCGCGTAAATGCGACCGAGAGGAACTACCTTTTCGGGGGGAACATTTATGCTTCGGGACGGTTTTGTCGGAGTAGCTAGTCGCTAGCTGCTGGGCTAAGCTGGCTACTTCGAAGCGAGGATGCTTCGGTGGATACGACAACAGCTGGTAAAACTGCTCTTCTACACCTTCTTACACACCTGTTCCCCCGCAGTCACACAGGATATGAGCCACTTAATCACCCCGGAAACATGCATTAACTTTATTTTCATTAAATTGAGCAAAAAACAGCCTTTCCCAATTAGCTGTTGTGGACAAACATTGTTGCCTTGAATTGATGACAGTCAGGTGTAGGTTAGTGTTAGCTTCCTTTAACCAGCTGACAAAGAGTCAGGTAAATAACACAGATAGGTCAAACATGTTTAAACTAGTTGTTCGGAAGTTTAACCACAGTTTAATCCTTTCCCAGTGTGAAACTTTAATTGGGAGTTAACCAACTCTACGCTTACTGTCAAGTTGTATAACCTGCCTCAGTGTGTCTAATTTTAACTTTCGAGTCTTGTTTTTGACCTGTTCATCTGTAGGCAAAATGTAATGTTAAATCTATTTAGGCCATTGCATATTCATGAAGTGCAATACTGTTTGTGCTGTAGCCTAGTCACCTGTTGTTTGCCTGCAAACATGGCTGCGTGTTGACGCATTATTAGGCAAAGGTGTGAAAGTAGTAAGACCAGGTAAGCGAGCTTGTGATTCCTCCCTAAATCCAGATTGCGGAGTTTAGTTTGCAAGTTTAAGTTTCAATCTTACATGAGCATGCAAAACTTAATGATTCGTGTTTGCAATAACGTGTGGAAATTACATTTTTTTTTATGTCGGAAGAACTGGCATTGACTCGAGAAGGAAGAGGGGGGTGTGTTCGGATATGAAAGAGGGGGCACGCCCATGTGGATGCGTGAATGAATGAATGAATGAATGGATGGGTGGGTGCACATAATGCATTAGTCACAGTTTTTTAAACAGTGGATGACACCAACACCACAGAGTTAAATGCAATGTAAAGGTGTGTTTCTAAGCTCCCATTGCCTCATCTCTGCCCTGACAAAACAAAAAAAGTCGTCTTTCTACTTTTAAAGGTTGATCCTTCACTGGTGTTACAGCACCACAGAGAGTTTGACTCCTTTTTTTATTTTATTGAATTGTAACTAATTCTTACAGCTTTATGTGAGTTATATCATAAAGAGTGTTTTTTCCCCTCCACATATGTTTTGCACATGATAAGAATGTTTCTTAAAGGTGCACTATGGAGTTTTTTAGAGAAATTTAAAAGTTGGAGAAGTGTACAGATTCTGTGGTATAAGTTCATAACTCTGTACACAAACTGTCCTCAGAGGAATATTTGTTCCCTGTAACACTGTTTGAAGATAAAATGCTACTGGGGAAGTTATGGTGGGGGGCCCCGGCAACAGTGAAAGCGTAACTCTCCTGGTAGCTTTTTTAGCTCCAAACAGTGTTCAAGGGACCCATTTTTTTTCCTTGTAATGAAGTTTATGTATTTAGTTCAGAAAATATAGCATATAATTGTTTCACTTCTCCAACTTTCATATTTCACTATACCAAATCTACATAGTGCACCTTTAATGACATGGTGCATTTGCACACATGCGGCAGTAGCTCGGTCTGTAGGGACTTGTGTTGGGAATCAGAGGGTCGCCATTGCCTCATTTCTGCCCAGACAAAAAGTCGTCTTTCTACTTTTAAAGGTTGATCCTCCACTGGTGGTAGAGCACCACAGAGAGTTTGACTCCTTTAAAAAAGGGCGGCCTGCTTAATCTAATTTGAGATAGCTAAATCTGTTTGACCCATCCCATATAAGTGACCTGTCTAGTTAATTAAAAGTGTAATTAAATTGGAAAAGTGTGCGGGGAGGCATTTGTCTGACCCTGTTTATCAGCTGGAAGGCAAAACAGTAATGTTGTTGCTTATCTGTTTCTTTCATGTGACACTGGGTCACATTAAAGGGATGAAATAAGGCGGAGGTGAGAGAGGACTAACTTAACAGTCACACAAACTTTAGTGTCAAGACTTCCTTTATCAGCAGTGTGGACATCATGCAAGTTGCTGCAGTTACATCATAAAGCGCCGTACTGTAATCGCAGGACAAGCAGCTGAGGAACTTGAAAAATGCACAAACATCTTGTTCTGTCAGTAGAACATGCAACATTTTATGCCCTCTTGTAGTTCCCATTGGGTTATTCAAAATGTCAGTGTTTAAATATTATTGCAGAGCAGAACAAGTTTCTGTATTGATTTACCACTAGGTCGTTGCACTCATAGTACTGAAGTCAACCTAAATGTTCTGTACATCTTAGACGTGTGATTTATTGCTTAACCACCGCCACTAAAACTACAGATATAACATTCCCCTTTAAAAAGTATTATTAGATATAGTATAACAGCCTTTCTCTTCACTTTGATTTACCAAAGGTGGCTTTTGCAGCTTTAGAGTTTTGCTACAGCATGGTTTGTTTCAGCAGATGTAGGACTTTGGGTGTTGATTTAACACTCAGAGTGTTTTCAACAACGTCCGTTGTTGCACCTTCATTATCAAGCAACTAAAATGTTATTCTGACAAAACATTTCACTAGAGTTTGTTAAATATCACGTAATGTATTCTCTGTAACTCAATCATACCATCCAGAGTCTCTGCACGTTTTATAACACAGTGGAATTAAAAGAATCTGAAGCTGCATGTTGAAAGAAGAGGTAAAACATAAACAAAACAATATTTTTAATCTTAGCTTGTTCAGCTAAGGGAATATGCTACAGTTTTATAGCTTCATTGAAAATCCCTTTGCGCACATCACTGCAGCAAGTTTATACATTCACAGAAAACATTTGATAATTAATTATACATGGCCTCTTGAGTAAGTCTCTCATAATGTTTAGCTCTACCTCAGGTCCTTCATTTTATCCAACAAGTTAGATATTCACTTGGCATGCCTGCAGTCATGTTAGTATTGCTGTTGTCATCAGTTATACCATCAAAAGCAGCATGTGCAGCACATGACTACAGTGTGTTGCTCTCTCACTCAGTCTCACTCATTGTGGTGCAGTCTTTCCCTCTGTATGTTAAACCCTCTCTGAATCTCTGATTAGTTCATCCCATTTGATTAAAGGCCTCTTAGTCTATATTACGATTTGCCTCGGTTGTGATGCATTAGTCTGTCCCCTCCAACCACTGTTCAGGGCAATGATTCCCCCCCAAGGCACTTTGGGATTTGTAGGCTTTATGGGGGGAGTAATTACCTGTCTGCCTAAAAATAGATGGGGGGCAAAGAAGACCAAAAAAGTCTGATAACAGCTGCACAGAGTTGTACAAGAAAGCCACATGGAAGTTGTTGCTATACTGTCAATTTAAAAAAAATATACATTTCAATACTGACAGAAAAACAAGAATGAGGCCTGTTTTTTTTTTGTTGTAGATTATGACCAATGTGGCGATTCAAAAAAGGCCTCAAAAATATGCAATATACATTACACTCCATCATCTGAAAGCTTTTAAATCATTCCCATCTAGATTGCTCTGTTTCAACCAGAAAAAAAATAATGAAGGAATTAAAAAGATGGCATCTGCCTGGATTCACCTCATTGGTTTAATTAATATAAGATTAATATCCCTTAATATGTTCCTATCTGTCAGCCAAGTATGATATCAGCTCTATTCAGTTTTCAGACTTTTCTATTCAGTCTGCATTTTCCAATTTAAGACAGTGCCAATCAACTAAATGCAGGTTAGGTCTGCAGCTCATGTTACTCCTGTTCCTTTAAAGCTTTAGGCCTTTGAAGAACATCTGTCTGTCTAAATACAACAGTAATAACCTACATTTAAAACATGTACACACAAACAGAGAGGAAAAGCCTACAATAGGTACACTGTTTAGTCTTCAATAACTAAGAGTAATGCAGGAATTGGGACTTGTTGGTTGCTGCAGTATATTGCAGATATCTTCATTTTGTGAACAAGTAAAATGGGGAACAATCAAAATGGCTCAAAGAGTGCCACCAAAAGCAGCAGGTAGCATAAACTTGATCTGACATCTGCCTCGGCTTCTCTGCCTCCTCCATGTTCTTGCCTGCGAGGAAACGCAGCACCATGACTGCATTGACGATTGCTTATTCTATTCAGGCTTACTTGACCTTTGGCAGCAAAACCTCCAGATTCCACCTTATTACTTTGTTTTTAGTACGTTATCTAATCGTTTTTTTCTGGCATGAACTTCCATTAATAGGAGACTAGATTTGTTTGGCTGTTGGAAACTTTTTTTTAATCACATATCCCACGTGGCAATATAGACTGTAGACAAAGTAGTGGTTTTAAAGCTAGCAAATGAGATATTTTTTAAAGTGACCATTGGTTTTGTTTGGCAACTGTTTAACTTTTGCAGTCATCTTTCATTGTATGTTCACTTGGTTGTTCCAAAAGATGAACCAGAAACTCTCCAAGCAGAATCTTTTTCTATCTTGAATGTCTCGTTAGTCATCGACTGAAGCATTGACAACCTAAAGCTGCATTTCAGTGCTTTCGGAAAAGTTGGGTAATCTACATCCCTCAATTTTCCAAGGCTACATGTTTGTTTCTGTTAGTCTTAGCAGTTAAGTAGATATTCAACCACCAGTTGATTTAACTTAAGCTACTGGGTGGAAAGATGTTAATGATTAAGCAACTTAACTGATGACTGATGCACGAGAAACTCTTCAGATTGTCTGAAAAACTAGATGGAGAAACGTTCTCGTTTTTTTTTTTACATTAGTCATAAAAAGGTGTAGAAGTAAGACTTTTACTGACCTCAATTGCAAAGTTAGTGCAATCCATCTTCAGGGATGTATAAGCTTGTTGGTCAATGCCAGTGACTCAACAATTCTTTTCAAAGCTGTGGGTATTTCTGACTTACAAAACGTATGACTGCAATTACCATTTCATATCGGGTGCAAATTCTGTATTACTTAATGTCTGTTTTAAAGTAACTGACAGTAGTTGAGATGAGATGAGATGAGATTCAACTTTATTGTCATTACACATATACAAGTATAGAGTAACGAAATGAGGTTTGGCATCTCACCAGAAGTGCAAATAAGCAGAAAGTGCAAGAGTCTGTGCTATGTACAGTAATTACAAAATTTACAGATGTAGACTAAAAAAAGTGAATTATTAGGTATATCTGGATGGCTGGATTAATGGGATGCTATAAATATAAATAAATGCTATAAATATAAGTGTATTCTTAGTTGCATTGCAAGTTGTTTTCCCACAGAAGCAAAAACTAGGTTAGCTAGCAAAAATAGGTCCATGAACAACGTTGCTTAAAAAAGTTTTCATGGCTTGACATTACACCTGTTTTGTTTAAATACTCAAAAGTAGTATCAAAACTACATATTTTTTCTTTTTATCCCTGTTAATATCAGATTTTCTAGAATTTTATAATGGTTCTGTAAATACTGTGCAGCTATCAATGCAGTATACAAGCGTGTCTGTGTAATGGTGGGCGGTGAGAGCTAGCATGGAGGGGGGACGGCTCTTCTGTCAAGCCTCTGCAGAAGAGTCATGGGACAGGCAGTCAGTAAACATCAAAATTAGGCTGTTTTCTAAAAGTCTAAACAGAAACATAGGAATGAAACTTAAGTCCAGATCAGAGATTAAGTCAGTACTTAAAAGTGCCCCCTGCTGTGAGGCGGTAGTGGAAAACACATGTCATCAAGATGTGACTGTGCACGTCATGGCTTAACCAGTCTCTCGTGAGTCGGTGGAAAAACCCTATTAGAGCCTGATGTTGTTACAAGACAAGCATAGAGACGTTTCAAATGTTCTGTCTTTAAAAAGCTGTCTTTAAATGAGTTTTTTTTATTCCTTAAAGTGGATCAATGTCTTCATGTTTGGATTCATGATGACACAGTGAACACTGTTTGCACAAAGTGAACAAAATCCAGATATTAATTTGAATTTAGTAAATTGCCGTAACCATGAAAAATCAGCGTAAAAAAACCAAGTCTTTTTACTGTCTTTCTTTGCTATCTTTTTCTGGCTGTCTTACTTTTTTTAGATTATACTTCAATGACCTCGGGGGAAAAAGCTCATTACATTTTCAGATGATATTACTTTTAAAAAAATGTCTAGGACAACAGATATGCAGACTGCAGTTGCCTTCAATTTGGTGTAAGCTGTGGATCTTTTTAACAAAACAATAAGAAAGCAGCAGCAGATGGAGAGCTAAATAAAGTAAAACAGAGAGGCAGTAATAGTTTACATGTGTCCCTGAACAGAGGTGAATGTGTGTGAGAGCAAGTGACGTGGCCCGGATACATTCCTCTGTGTGTGTGTGTGTGTGTGTGTGTGGTGTGTGTGTGTGTGTGTGTGCGTGTGGGTGGGTGTGTGCTGGTCTGACGTCATGTATCCTTTGCAATGGATTGTAAGCCCTTGCTTTTGCCTTCTTAGTGTTACAGTTGTGCAGGGTGTTTACCAGAAGAACACTATGTGAGGAATGAATAGGAAGTAGAGATTGTGAAGCCAACTTGTAGGAAATAGCGTGATGAAATGTGTCTTGTCTCCACATGAGTGGATTACAATTAAACATGAGTTGATTATATTAATAACCTTTATTTATTCACCAGTGATGTGATTGTGACATTTTTTTTCCCCACATTTTTGACATTCAGAAATGTCTTTAATAACACTGATGAAAATACACAGATTTAAATTTATATGAAGAAAAGCTCAAGTGCGTTTTTATACAATTCTCAGATGTCATGGTTCCTCTTTACAACTCAAGCAGACAACTTTACATGCTTCAGTTAACTTTATTTCTGTGTTTAGGGTTAAAAGAGTTTGTCGAGGGTTTTGTCCAGTGAGAAATATGTGTTGATGTTATTTACCTGTTGATGTTTTCCTTAATTGAGTCCTTTTTTTTTTGTCCTATCCCTCTCCCTTCTCATTTTTCTTCCCTTCCCTTCCCTCAGGGCTTTGACCCTCCCCATCAGAGTGACACCAGGACGGTTTATGTAGCAAATCGTTTTCCCGAGCATGGCCACTACGTACCACAACGCTTTGCTGACAACAGAATCATCTCCTCCAAGGTACCAAATGTTATCAAAGCATCAATATGTGGTTAATGGTTGTTTATCTGCCTCTCTGAATGCATGCTTGTTGTCTGTTTTTGTATTTATTAATACTCCTGTGGAGGCGACTTAATGTGCTCAGCACTGGAGTCCAAAACAAATGTCTCTAATGTGGATATTAAAGTGTATCATATTGTATCTTAGTGGAATTCTTCCTCCGTTGTTATCAGTACAGGTTTCATCTTTGTCAGGACTGGGCAGCTTCTCTGTATTTTTACGATACTTAAAATGATATGTGTCCTCACGAGTTTCCAAAAATCATTTTGGAACTTAAGCCAGAAGAACAAAACAGTTCAACAGAGGCCGTTGACATGCAAGTTGACATTTAGCATGAGCATTGAAGCAGTGGCAACCATGGCAGAAAAAAAAATGGCATTTCCTGTGTTAAAAAAGTAATCATGAGCCTACTCATGATTACTGTGGGGCTACTGTGAGGCTGATCAGACTGGATAAAATCAGACAACAACTTTTGTGTTGTTGAGAGGATTAGTGGGTCACTGGTAAGACTGAATGAACAAAAGGACATTCATCCTAAAAGGCTGCTGTCTGCTGCCCGTAGAGATGACTGTCATTGATTAGCCAGGCGGTTACATGATCGACAGAAGAGTAAAGTCACATGGTGCGTCATGCATTTTAAGACATACTTTTAAGGAGACAATAACAAATTGGATAAAAAACCAAGTTGTTTATGACTTAAAAGCAGGCTGTGAAGAGCCTTTTAAAGAGATTTTAATGTAAAAACAGGAAACAAAAGTTAATCTGCTGTTCCTTTGAGGGAAAACAAATTAAATGTATTTAATGTAAAGACGTCAAAGGAATCTTTTTTTTAAGATAAGTATCAGAATGTACTGATGCAGTGCGGCACAGGTGTGTTTTTTTCAGAGCTACCAACGTGCAACACTGACAGAGGTATCTTAGAAAAGAAGGCGCAAAAAGTGACAACAAGTGTTTTATATTTACATGTGGCAAACTTTCTGGTTAACCAGGCCGTAATGCTGTTAGTTAAAAAAATATTTTGAACTTTCTTTTTTATGCACATCTATTGTTTGAATACTGACAGCCATAGATAGGCTAGTTCACCTGTCTTGTGTATTTGTTGTGTATTTTATCAGTTCTTGATTTCAATTCCATCAAAAATGAAAAAGACGGGTAGGGCTGGGAATCTTTCGGTTTCTCACTTTAACGATTCGATTTCCGTTCTTGGGGTCACAATTTGATTCAGAATCTATTATTTAATTCAAAACGATTCTGGATCCATGGATTCAAAGTCTATTTTTGAATTAGTTCATATTAGATCTGCTCCAGTCATCTGTTAGACTGGCTGAATTTCTTGTTTCTCCATTTGGCATTCTACTGAATTAAAGAGCTAGCCTTAACACGATTTTAACACAAGATTTTTGGAAGTTCTGTGTTTATTTAAAATCTCAGAAGATAATAATCTTAATCTTAATTATTATTAATCTTGATTGATACAAAAAATGATTTCTTTAGTCTAAAGAGGGGTGTAATCTTTCTCTAGTCTTTGTCTCAAACGTTGTTTTTTCTGTCTCTTTCAGTACACCGTTTGGAACTTTGTCCCTAAGAATTTGTTCGAGCAGTTCAGAAGGATAGCCAACTTCTATTTCCTCATCATCTTCCTCGTTCAGGTAAAAACACTCACAAATCTTTTTTCTGGTTTAAGTCCCCCCAGTCAGATGGTGACAAGTCAAATGTGACCTCAGTTTTCCTGCCCTTAAAACAAGTGTGTGTGTGTGAGTGTCCTGTCTGTGTGTGCATGAATGACTCATTGACTCCCAGAGAGGCAGGTCTGCCTGTGTATTAAAACATTACACTCACGCATTAAGTAATATGTATCTTAACAACAAGCCCTAGGTGTTAGGCCTTCACTGTGCATCAGTCAGCTTGTGCTGAAGAAGGGTCTTGCGTTCAGATTTTCAGCCTTATCCTGATTTATTTGGTCCTGTGTAGTGAAGCCAAAGCAATCGCCTTGACTGGGTCTAAAAAGGCTCTTTTTTTTTTACCCACTCAACTTGTCAGTGCTGCTGAAGTCAGCTTACTCTCAAATCACTGAGAAGAAGACCTCGTCCTATCTTGACATTGTAAACATGACATTTGCATAAATGGCCAATTAAACCATTTTTAGACAGAGATGATTTCTAGATGCCTCTTGTGAAATAGTATTTCCTTTGTTTAACCATCATATCTTCTAAAAACACTCATCCTAGAAGAAAAACAATTTCATGGAGATTTTTGCTTAACAACTTGTATTCCCCTTAAAGGCAGTAGTTGCACTGCTGTCGCCAAGTAAATTCAAATCTTTTTATGAGATCAGTACTTTTAAAAAGCAAAACACAGAAGAAGACGTGTTCTAACCCAAACAAGATGTGTTCCTCCGCAGTTTAACCTGAGTTAAACAAAGTGTTTAGGGCTGACCAGCAGCAACGTTTACCACTATAAACAGCCTGGATATAAAAATGTACAGAACATCTATATGTAGAACAGCTTTCTCAGCTACAACACTGGTACCCACTCAGTCACTTTCCCCAAAAGAGCCTTAAATGTGCTCAAAGTGACTGTGAAAGCTCTGCCTGATTCCCTGTCTTTTCTTTTGTATTAGAGAAACGTAGAGTCTGACAGTAGCCTCTTATGGCTGCTTAGCTCTGACTAGCAGCAAAGCACTATATGGATGGTTTGAAATTAATTGGACTGAATTGCATGTTGCGTCGAATCTGTTCACACTTGACTTTAAAAAAAAAGAAAGTGGCAGCCCTAAGCCATTAGGCCAAGCCTCCTCCAGCCATTGCCTGCCCAATTCTCTATTGCAATTTGAATATAAAGGGAGGACAGGTTATTGTACAGTATCCTTAAAGATAGATCTGCTTTTTTATCGTCATTTAGCAACGTTATCTCAGAGCCTATATGTGAAATGCAGTTATCTTGTTTTTTTATGTTATAAATCAACTACCAGGAAGCAGATGCAGTTCTAGTCAATGACTGCTCACTACACCTGGTATAATCTGGATTTGTATTTAAGTCTTTTTAAAAGAGAAAGTTCAGTCAATAACAGTTCTGAAAAAGTTGCTAAAGGTAGCCACAAAAGCCTGTTTTCATCAGCAGAGTAAAGCACTAACATTAACAGTTAAAGCAATAATTAATGCATTCAATGATGAATTCAGTGACGATATCCGAAACAAAACAGAGCATTGCATTTAAAAATAGACACTAAAGCCGTTTTCACATATGCACTCCGGATAATATCTAGATAATTACAGATTGCGGATAAAATACTAGGGGTCTGGCCGGATAAACTCCGGGTAAAGTCTGCGCAAGACACTTATAATCCTGGAAGTATGACAGAAACAATCAGAGGACATGAACCTCCACACTTCTGCTTCTCTAAACTTTAATAAAGTGTTTAAAATGTTGTTTTTTTTGTTTTTATGTGGGTGTCGTGCTAACAGAAAGGCCATATCACCACATACCAAATACCACAACATCCTTTTTTTTAAAACCATCCTCTCTCTGCTCATCTCCTGCCTCTCAGTACCATGAACTGCATAACGTCCCAAAATGTCAGGGAATGTGTGTCTATAGATGAATGATTTCGACGTGATAAAGGAGTTAAAGGTGAAAGTTAAAAAATGATGACTATGATGTTTTGGATTTTCATTTTTTCTATCACTGTAGTTTGGGGGGAAAATGTGTTTTTACCCTGCCAGTGAAACTATTGAAAAAAACATGCTCTTCCCTGATTCATGTGAAGTTGTTAAGTTGATATTGATGTGATGTGCATAAAACTACCACCTTTTTCTAAGTTGTAAAGTTGAGATGTGTCTGCTGCAGACTGTCAGTTTTGAAACATCTAATTACCTGTGTGTGTGTGTGTGTGTGTGTGTGTGTGTGTGTGTTTGTGTATGCTGTACTGAACTTATAACTAACCCTAAAGCAGGCTTCCTGTTTGACACATCACTTCTCTCCGTTCTAGTTTGCTTTTTTTTTTCCTCTCTTACAAGACACGCCCACGTTTACCGAGCTGCTGGTGCAACCTTTTTTTTTTTTCTCTCTGCACTTCCAATATAGAGAAAAAAAATCTCTGACCCCGCCTTTGTGTTTGTCTTTCTAGTTAATGATAGACACCCCGACTTCCCCTGTCACCAGCGGTTTGCCTCTCTTCTTTGTGATTACAGTAACTGCCATAAAACAGGTGAGAACATAAGCACACGACAGCTTCCTCTTTGTTGGCTTCGGGAACTGAAATACAGAAGTAACATAAATGTACAGTTTGATTAACTGTCGACAATGGCTTGTGACAGCATACTTGATTTAACTTAAATATGCATTCAATCGTATTCAGATTGTTCAAACTAACTTCAACCATTCCTGTTCATCTTCTTTCACTCTTTAAATATAAAACACTTTGATCAGCTGTTGTTAATTAAGAATTCTGTTCTATCCAACCAACTTGGCTTTTATATGAAAAGGTGAATAGCTTAAACTGCTTCAAGTTCAGTTCATGAAATAGTAGTCGCTGTTGATCAGTAATGCTATGTGACGCTTTGCTCTTGGTAGCTATCTATGGCTGTAAGTAATATGTTGTTGAATACATTTCTCTGTAGGGCTATGAGGATTGGCTGAGACACAAAGCGGACAACGAGGTGAATGGGGCTCCCGTGTTTGTGGTCCGCAGTGGAAGTCTGGTCCAGACAAGATCCAAGAACATCAGGGTAAATATTTCAAAAACTGCCCACAAAAGAACTCTATAATTCTACTTTACTCTTCGTGTAAGAACTGGACTCAACTTCCTCCAAACCTCTACTTAAAAGAACATTTAAAAAAAAAAAAAAGCTCTTCACACCTCAGAGCCAGCAGCCAGGGCTAACTTAAGCTTAGGCGTTAAATTCCTGAGGCTTGTGGTGATTCACTGTAAAGAAAGACGGTAAAAGATAAGAGTTTGTTGATAAAAGGAAGAACTGTTAGAAGTTAGGATTGCAAAAAACTGGGTCGTCCATGGTGTTTAACACAAGTAGGACTGGAATGTCCCATGAAAGATGCATCTGATGCAGTAACTAAAGTCTCTACAAACTCCACAGTTTGTCTTTTGTTCTTATAATTGAATCATATTAGGTTGTTTTTTGTTATTTGTCTTTGCAGGTTGTCTTTTCCCCAAAGGTCAATGATGATTTTTTCATATTTGCAGCCAATCATGAGCATGAACGAGTGTTGCTGTTACCTGTCCTTTTATCTGTCGGTGTTTTAGGCCTGCACGTTGCTGTTACTCCGCATGTTGTAGTGAATACAGTACAAATCCTCTGAGGTCAGACTTCTTACAGACATTGTGTCACTACTGTGTCTGAAGTCCTGAATGATATGTTTCTCTAAGTCATTATAGTTGTGTTAAAACAAACCTATAATGTTTCTGGTTTGTGCTTCTAAGTGTGGGTTTCATGGTGTATTTCACCCACTGGAAGTATGACCAGAAATGTAATCTGTGAAATGTGTAACAGCATTTTAGTCTAACCCCATTGAACACCATCATGAAGGAATGACCAAGGTTGTTTTTTAAACATTTAGTCCAGACAAATTCTGTCCTTTTTAAATAAATTAATATTATTGACACAAATAATTTGATTGATTAAAATAGAAATCTTATTTATTATTATTATTATTATTATTATTATTATTCATTTAGGTTATAAAACTCTTAAAAATCAAATCCAGTCTAAACAATGGAGTGTGTGTGTGTGTGTGTGTGTGTGTGTGTGTGTGTGTGCGTGTGCGTGTGTGTTTTCTGCCTCTGTCTAGGTCGGAGACATTGTTCGTGTGGCTAAAGATGAGACGTTCCCCGCTGACCTGGCGCTGCTGTCCTCTGATCGTGCAGAAGGCACCTGTCACATCACCACAGCCAGCCTTGATGGAGAGACCAACCTCAAGGTCTGTGTGTGTGTCACTCTGTTTGCTTTAGGAGTACATGGCTGAAAAACTTTGAAAAACCTAAACCAGTCGCTGCACAAACAAGCCGTTTTAATAAAGTAAACGCACAGCTGAATATCCACGACCTGATGGCTCCGTCTTTGTGGTGTAAACAAACAAAACTTAAATGTGCATACTGAAACATTCAGAGTAAAAGTTTACACTCAGTCATCGAACACATTGTTTTTGTCCCTAAGGCCTGACTTAAGTGTTGATGCAGTAACTGAAATAAACTCATTTAGCTTGCAGTGTTTTTCCAAACCGCCTCTTTTAGCACATCACAGCATTTCTGCACCTTCACCAACTGTTGATCTGATCTGACATAATGTGTAAACAGTGGCAGGATATGAATCAGGTTGCTGATATGATGTATGTACGCACAGGCATCACTGTGAGTGTGCACAATTAAAATGAAACAGAAACCTGCTAATAAACTATATCACTCTTTAAAGCTACTACTGTTAAAACTCCACATTTAAGAGTTTTACCTGTAAGCTCTTGTTGTAAACGGCAACAAGAAGGCTTTTATGAACCACTAATATGAGCAGTGAAGCACAGGTAAAAGGTGATAATGATAAACCAATATGCTAATACTAATAGGTTAGATTTGAAGTCTTCTACATCCTTCAAATAATGTGCAATAATAATGTGTAATAATGTGCTAATAAATAAACAGTTCAGCCAAACTTATACTTTTATATAATTTTTTTAATTATAGAGTTCCTAAACCAAACCTACTCCAAATAATGTAGCTAAGGTCACGATCCATCAGGTTAAAGTTTGGAGAAAAAATAATTTCAGCTGTTTTGGGTTAGGATCAGATAATATTTGTGGTTAAATGAGATCAGAAGGATAGATAGCTTACAATGATTGACTACATTTAGATGTATTCCATAATGTGTCTGTGATAGAAGTGAAAGAAACCATGTTATACGAGTAAATGTTGCTTATTATAATGTGTTTGGATCTGATTGGTTTGATGCATTTCACTACTACAATTTGATACTCAAAGTGAAACAGATTTATAATTTGAGTCACTGGTTAAGTTGTTAATGTTGTTGTTGTTGGTTCAAGGTTTTTCACTTTTGTGTTTCCTGGCACATGAAAATGAAAATGCAACGATTTCAGTCCATTGGTACATCTTTTTCTTTCAACCTGACAATCTTCCTCCTGCAAAACATCAAGGTTAACAGTTGAGCTGCTGCCTCCTCTCTGCAGAGCAGCAGCAACTGACCGCACCAGTTGTTTTAAAAATAGAAAGTTTTAGGTCACAACTTTAGTAGTTTGTTGTGGAGCTTCGACTTTCTTTTCTACAAAGTGTCTCCTCCATAAACTGAAAAAGTTAATTTTTCTAATCAATAAAAAGATTCCTTTTAATCAGCATGTAATACAAGTTGTGTGTTTTGTGTTTGTAGACTCACTTCTCTGTGGCGGAGACATCAGTGTGTCAGTCAGTGTCTCAACTGGAGGCTCTGCAGGCGGTGGTGGAGTGTCAACAACCTGAGGCTGACCTGTACAGGTAATCTGCCCTTATTTGTACACTCACTAACTCACAGGGTGGGGCCATGAAAAAGGCAAATAATGTAAAAATATTAATGATATTTGAAACTCCAAGAGTAAAGAATACATAAAAAATGTGCACAATAAATTCAAATGCAGTGCAGTCTTAGAACAAAGGCATGCACAAGAGGTTCTTTTAAATGAGAGGGGGAAGAATTTGTGAATTTTTTTCAAAATCCAAAATAAATCTTTTCAGTTTTTGGGTTTAAACGTAGGCTTTACTTGACATTTTTTCTTGATTGACGAGAAATGTATAAGTAGGTAGAGTCGGTCGTCTCTCAAGCAGGAGGTCGAGGGTTTGATCCCCAGCTCCTGCAGCTACATGTCCGATGTGTTCTTGGGTAAGACACTTAACCCCAAGTTGCTCCCACTGCTTTGTCGGCAGTGTATGAATGGGATAAGTTACTGCTGATGGTCACTTTACATAGCAGCCTCCACAATCAGTGTGTGAATGTGTAGGTGTGACCTGCGATGTGAAAGCACTTTGAGTAGTCAGAGGAGAAAAGCGATTAATCAAGTCTATTTACCATTAACTCCACACTAAAATCAAACAAAATGAAAAATAGATGTCAGAAATGTCTGACCAGAGATGTGTTATGAAATGGATGATGGGGGTTGAGATGGCTTCATCACCTCTTCAACAACACCTCTCCCTCTTGTCTGTCGCAGCTGGCGACTTCAGAATCGATCAGAGTATTTTTAGATCAAGCAGTTTGTTTCTGTGGCAGTTTTCTCCCTTCCCCCTCTCTCTTCAACGCTCTTTCTTTCTCTTCACACTCGCTGAGTTTAAACTCACTTAACAAGCCAAGCCGTTGTCATCTTCCTGCAGTCATCAGTCTTCGTATTAACCTCAAACATGGCGTCCTTAATCAGGGCAATGTATTTTCATAAACCTCATTCCAATTCTCCTGGAGGAGCCTGATTGTTTGGGCTTACTCATTTCTTTTACTTGTTTCTTTTACAACATTTGTGCTTGAAAAAAATACCATTGGTGCATCAGTTTCCTCTACTGGACATATTTTTTTATTATTTAGACACATTCTCACAGCTAAAGAAAAATCTGTCCACTTCAGAGTTATTTCTCCAAGTCTTCTGTACTTCAAAATGCTTCTGAAGAAAACTTGTGCAGACTACAGAGGCATTGATCTAATAAATATTAAAATATGTCCAACGGTGAGGATGCATTTGAGCATATCTCAAATGTCCTGCATAAGAAGGATTTCTCCCAGCAGCCTGCTTTTCAGCGAGCACGTCAACAAATCTGTTGTCTCTATCGGGGCACTCTTCTTCATTGCCTTTCGGTGTTTTGCAGGTTTGTTGGTCGGATCACGGTGACTCAACTTGGAGAGGAGATAGTCAGGTAAGATTAGTTCTATCATGTTGTTATGCCTTATAATTAAACTAATGAGTATACAAGTGCTCAACAAAAACAGATACTGATAAACAGACATCCACAATAAGATGGAGAATTGATGAAAGGGGCAGGTCTCTACGTTACACCTTTCTTTAGCAGGCCTTCAGCACATGGTTACAACATATGAGGGTGTGAAGCTAAATTAATGTTTAAAACTGTCTTTTGTTTAGATCAGAGTCTCTGGTTTATACGAACATGCTACAACATCAATCTTTCACTGTGTTTGTTAATTTCTGTTGTTTTTGTTTGCTCTCATGTCAGACCTCTGGGTCCAGAGAATTTGCTGCTTCGTGGAGCCAGATTGAAAAATACCAAAGAGATTTTTGGTGAGTGGATACAGAAACAGTCCAAAGGAAAAGTTCTTAAAAAAGGATTAAACCTTTGCCTACCTGTCATGGGGATATAGGATGTCTTTCTAAGAGAAGCTTTGCAGTTGAATCCAGAGACACAGCCTCCACAGCCTCAGAACAGCCGCGACTCAAACGAGCTAAACTCAGAGACATTATGGGCATCAGGGACCCCTCATTATCAGGCCAGAGGTGTGATTATGTTGACACAAAACTGTTCTGTGGGACTGAACATTTAAGAGGGTTGATTGCTGACTTCAGGCAACCCTGCTGTAACACTTCTGCTGCAACACAATATACAGTATGTTATTTGTGGGTTTCATTTGTATGTACTCTACTGTTAACGTCTGGGTTGTTGTTTTTTCTATTTAATTTTCATTTTACTTTTATTTACTCTCGAGAACTCTTAGAGGCCAAGCCCTCATTTACAATGACGTCGAGAGTACAATTAAAACGAATAAGAGGCAAAAAACAATGAAGACAAAATACATAGATAATAAGACCAGAAGAATAAGCAGTAAACAGGCAACTACAGTTAATAACACTTACACTCATGAGTACAGTGAATTGTGATCAGGTTTTTAAATTGACCCATGGTTACCATTGTATTGAGTTTGAATGTGTTTTGTGTTGTGTTCCAGGTGTGTGCAGCACAATAGGTGAAGGATGTTTTCCCAAAGTTCATTCTTACTCGTGAAACCGTTAACATTAGCCAGTCACTTGATCGAGTCTGATACTGATTATCAGCCCAGATTAATAAAGAAGTAATGTATACTGGTAGATTACCCGCAAGTGATTTATAAATAAATAGCAGCCAATGCCTTTCACGTCTAACTGTTAGTGAAAGCCAACCAACCAGCTATTGTTTTTATTCATTGATTCCACTGTGGAGGCAGATATTTGTGTGCAGCACTGTGGTCCAAGACAAATTTCTCTAAGGGGACAATAAAGTTTATTGTATCATATTGTGTTGAATTGTATCGGACCATATCAGATCCTACCACTTAAACCAACTGTGCTGTTGCAGGAGTGGCGATTTACACAGGGATGGAGTCCAAGATGGCCCTCAACTACAAGTGCAAGTCCCAGAAACGCTCTGCAGTAGAGAAGTAAGCACCGTCTCTCTAAGCAAACCAAACATTGCTGTTTAAGAATTTTCTTGAACACTCTTAAGTTTAAACTGATTTTTCCTCTTAGGTCCATGAATACCTTCCTGATCATCTACCTGTGCATCTTGCTGTTCGAGGCCGTCCTCAGCACCATCTTGAAGTACGCCTGGCAGGCTGAGGAGAAATGGGACGAACCGTTTTACAATCAGAAGACTGAGCAGGAGAAAAACAGCAGCCCGGTTAGTTAGATTCACTTTTTCAGAACAATGTCTTTTCATTTATTGATTTGTTTCTCTAAGTGAAGGGTACAAGCTCCAGAGATAAGATTAGGTTGAGATTTAAGTGCACAATCCTCTTCAGTCTCTCTCTTTTCATCTGTGCACAACCTGCTCTTTCTTCTTTTTCATCTCCTTGAAAATAATAATTGGCATTTTCTCACCGTTGCAGAGATAAATTAATAGGGGGGAGTTTGTGATATAAAAAAGAGGCCTCACTCGAATTCCCACACACACACACACAAAGTACTAGAAGGTTGAAGGCAGGGTGGTTTAAGTGTCTCTAGATTTTGTGATAAGGCATTAGAGAGGAAAGGCCAATCTGCCAGCCTATCAGCCTACCTGCCAACACTAATCAGTCAGAGAGAAAAGCCCTGGTGGGGATGAAGCACAGACGTTCACTCACTTCCCCTCTCTCTGGAGACTGAAAGAGGAATACCAGCAACAAATTGATGGCTTTGTTTTTATATTTAGTTTAACAGGTGATCCAGAAAGCTGCCGGCACCTTTACAGTATACACCGTTATGACGTCATGTCTGCAATTCAGACAGTTTACACGAGAACAATCGTCTTATAACAGAGATGTTTTCTCATTTTTAAGAAAGTTCTGCATTTAGATAACAACGTTTTGAGCTGTAAACATATAAAAATGGCTATTGCACAAACCTTTGGTGAATGGCGATGAGGTGGAGTTGTTACTCCAACTGACCTGAGAGAGTACATTTCAAGAAAATGTCAACCGGGTTAGGAGTGAGCAGCTTAAACAAAACTTGGGAGTTCGCCATTGTCGTTGTAGTCCAAATACTCACGCATGCCTATCGACTGGAGCCTTAATGTGCATGAGTGAAGAATCTACTCACGCACAGCTTTGGTCTGTTACCGCACTGAGCATGTGCCAAAGGTGAAATTTTGAAAAACTGTTTTACCAGTTTACATGGCGAGAGATGGTGACGTTTCCAAAAGATTGCCCCTTGAGACACTTTTTCAAAACCTTCCATTTTCAGACACCTAAAACACCATCATCGTATTAACAAACCAGCCGAGACGCAACAAAGGGTTCTGGATGAAATCATTGTCGTGTAAACCCGGCCTCAGATACAATATCCAAATCCAAAAGAGTGTTTCTAGTTAAAACTAAATATAGTAGAGTAGTTTTTTTTAGAATCCTTTGCTTTCTCCTGCATCTCAACAAACTTATTTTATTATTTTGTTTAATAAGTGCTTCAGAACCCAACTCCATGTCCAACATAACGTTATCTCTGGTACAGGTCCTGATACTCTGTTTTTCAGTCTTTTGTCCTCTCTCAATCTCCTTTACTGTCACATCCAGTAATTAAACCCTTAATGGGAATGAATTACCCTGTCTGCTTTGATTTAGAAGGATCAGTGCTGAAGCACCATCAGTCTGTGGGTGGCTTATATCTTCTATTTTCACAATCTTAATATATTCTTGCACTGAATCATAAGTTGCAGTAAAAGTATCAAAAGGAAATTGTGATGAAAAACTTCAAAAATAAAGCAAGATGGTTGACTTGAAACAAGATGCGTTCAAGAAATATACAAACAACTGAAAACACATACTTAAGGAGTTTTTATTCACATTACATTGTGCTTTACAAAATTAAAAATGGGATTCTGTAGTTTTCTGATTAATGAAACATTGCTTATGATAGTTGGGATAATATGAGAAGAATAATCTCCTGAAGTAGGTGCGCAGGACATCAAACTAACACACTGAAAAGAAAACAAATCCCACACACTATTCTCTCGGCATCACTAATTTATTCTATAAACCACAACGTTTTGGTCCCTTTTGGTGGACTAGATTCAAAAGATCATTTGGGCATTACAAAAGTCCACAAAAGTTATTTTAAAGTTTAGTTAACAACTTTATTTTACCTTGTTTGCTATTAAAAACTCTTATTTGAAATTCTGGTGTGGATGGATAATAGTCCCACTGCACATCCATCTTTTCTGTTCTCTCTTATCAAATCTCCATCTACCTCCAACAACACTTAATGTTATGTAGATGTTTTTTTTACTTTCTGTCTTTCTTGCCCTCCTTGTGCTGCATCCAAATAAAATCTATTCCCATCTCTCTTCAGATCTTGAAGTTCATCTCAGACTTCTTGGCGTTTCTGGTCCTCTATAACTTCATCATTCCCATCTCGCTCTACGTAACTGTGGAGATGCAGAAGTTCCTGGGCTCCTTTTTTATTGGCTGGGATTTGGACCTTTACCACGAGGAGAGCGACCAGAAAGCTCAGGTCAACACGTCTGACCTCAATGAGGAGCTGGGACAGGTACTGAACAGAAACGCAGTAACACTGCACACAAAGGACAAGATTAAAGAAACCTACATACACATCAACTTAAAGGGTTAATGTGGCACAAATCTTAATGTAAAAATGGAAATTAAACTGTGTGTTTCTGTTTGTGCAGGTGGAATATGTGTTCACAGATAAGACGGGTACATTAACAGAAAACGAGATGCAGTTCCGGGAGTGTTCCATCAACGGGACAAAGTACAGAGAAGTTAACGGCAAACTGGTGCCAGAGGGAATGACTGAAGAATCGCCAGATGGTTCAACACCTCAACTGGTAACTCATTTATTTATATACACGTTTCATGAATCCCGCTTTACATGCACACAATGTAATATGTACTGGTCTCATTGCAGCCTTTAAACTAACAACCATACCATGTGACCAAATCAACCTGGTATGTTAGAGATGGCTTTCTGCCTTGGGCCATTCACGTAATAAACATTAAATAATTCATGCGACAAAGTACCCATCAAAAGGCTAAGGGTTTAAATTAAATAATGTTTAATTTGTGGTGTTTTACTAAAACAGGATAAGTACAAAATCTAAGTTTCTTCCCCTCTCATTCTTCCTGCTGTTGTCTCTGTCTAGATGGGCGAGGAATTGTTATTCCTGAAAGCTGTGTCACTGTGTCACACGGTTCAGATCAGCTACGATCAGCCAGACTGTCTGGTTGGGGGAGGAGATCCATTCTCCCAAGTGAACGGTTTCTCTTCTAGTCACATGGAGTACTACGCCTCTTCTCCAGACGAGAAGGCTTTGGTTGAGGCAACAAAGAGGTAAAGTTACATCAGATCTTCAAGAGACTACCCGATGGTGTATATGATGAAGAAACAGCAAAGCTATCAGTGTTGGGGTAGATGAATCCAGGCGTTATCCAAGCTGTTCTCAGCAGCAGTTAAAAGTACAACAGACCCATTTGACCCAGGCCTCTCATGATTGGAAAGAGTTGTATTGTCAGAGTAGTTTAAAACAAAGAAAATTAGCGGTAGCTTGTATATTTCTCTGGTTAAAGTGCTGTTCTATAGTAATGGAGTTCAGCCTCTATGGTGGCAAATTTGAGGCAATTAGGGATGTGAATCGATTCTCTCTTTTAAAATCATTAATTTAAGCAAGGTTGTGCACACACCTGTTGCTTGAACAGGTAAAAACCTTAATCTGAATAGAACCTATTTATTCATTGTTAGGGAAATTTGTGGATTCAACAGGAAAATAAGGAGAGCAGTGACAGAGAACAAACTTTCCCCTGTCTTCATGTGCACAGCACTTCTCAAAGAGCTTGTGTTTTCACTGGATTGTATGGGAAATGGAAAAGAAATGAAAAGTATTTATAGCAGGGAATGACTTGTCATGTCCAGAGTAGGAAAGGTCTGCTTCGGGTTCAAGCCAAGAGCTTTGCTTTTAGGTGAGGCCAAAACAAAAACAAAAAAATAGTCATAATGTTTCCTTCATGTTTTGCAAAGGAATGAACCCATGCTGTTGGAATAATGCTGGATTGTTTCTGCGTAATACTTTTCCTACAACAACATTTGTTGCAGGAGATTGAAGCGTTTGCAGGTTAGAGTTCAGCCTATAGATGAAGTGGCACTTCACTACTCAGGTTTTTAATTATTTGTCACAGAAATATAGCCCAGGCTACAATTTAATGTCAAGGGAATGGTAAAAAGCCTGTAAGTGAAACTGTGTGGGGAAAATAGCCCTCAAAGGAGAAAAGAGCATGGATAAAAACTGACCAGTTTCTCATTTCAAAGCTTGACAAAGAGGAAAAAGCTTAAAAATCTCATCATGTTTTACAAGAAAAGATATTAGATATTACCCATCTAAACTGTCAGACTGGTGTGTTTTACAAAACCTTCAGAATTCGTGATGCATGAAGTCAGTGATCCTGGCCAGTGTAGTTTTCACACCATCAAATTAAATTATGTCGAGCAGTGAGGGGCTGACCCAGAGCCGCCATGCTCTATTGGACCACAAACAGTGAATCTTTGTTGATTTACACTGAAGGGAGACACAGTTGAAACCATGACCTCAGTGATCGCTGCGATATATATAACACTTAATTATGTTATGACACCAGGAAAAAAAAATGTATCCTCAACTGACACTTATCACAGGAAGACTATTTCTTGCTGAAATGTGACATTGTTGGTCATAACTCATGAAGCACCTTGACACGGTCGATTCTTTTCAGAGTTCAAAGGCTTGATTGGCATGAAAGCTTCAAAAGCAGCATCACTAAACAAATTAAACAGATGTTAAGAAAATACATAAAAATTGTCATAAATGAAAAAGAACTTGATATCAGTGGCAGAAAGGACTTTATGTATTTGATAGTTTTGCACGCTTTTCCAGTGTGCTTTAAAAAAAAAGACCAGCTTTCATGGATGGATGCAGTCTCTCAGTGTTTAGTTACTTATTACCTTGTTTTATCACACTTGGTATTCCATTAATTTACCAGCTTTTCTTAAGGATGTCCCAGACTGTAGGTTCACATCCTCCATGATGACCTTCTCCATAAAGTATGAATCACGATTAAGGGCTCTTCTTTGAGCAACATCCAACCACAACTGGGCTCAAACTGTATTAGCCTGACCTTGAGGTTTGCTCTACCTACCTGTGTGGCATTTTGGTGCCAAGTGCACAGGCGTGAGCAGATGTGCAAAGAGGAAAAAATGAAGGAAATGCAAAGGGAGTTGTTAGTATTTATTTCTCAGTCATTGGACTGAGAATAGATGTCTCAGAAGAACCACATTGTACCATTACCATCAAGACAACAAAATAATTCTCCATGTGTTAAATTGTTGTTGTCAGGCTTCTGTCGGGATTGGCCAAGCTGCTGCAGATGTTAGATATGTATCAGTCCAAACATTGTCTGAGCTATATTTGACCTAAGCTCTTTTGCCCCCTTGTCCTGCTGAATTTATATGAACCAATATTTATTTTTTGGGCATTTCTGCCTTTTTTGAAAGGGAGGCTGAAGATGGACAGGAAAATGTAGGAAATAGAGTGTGGGGTTGACATGCAGAGAGGGTTTGGCTCGGACTCAAGCGATGCGTCCAGGGTAATAAACTGAGCTAAACCAGCGCCCCCTGGGAATTATATAAGGCCCATTTACCTTCAGAGTTTTTCAAACATTATTTGAAAGGCCAACATTTTCACAGATTCCGAGCTGCAACTTGTGTCTCTTTTCCTCAGGATCGGAGTGGCCTTCACTTGTAGCAACGGAGAAACCGTTGAGATCAAAACCTTTGGCAAGTCAGAGAAGTATGTCTATCCCTACCTCCTGTCCACATTTTCTAAATGTCGCCCATGTCATAAAATCATGTTATCTGGACTGCAGGCAAAAAAAAAAATGGTTGCATAAGCTACCTGTTAAAAAGAATTTGTCACATCCTGAGTCCAAAGTGAAGTTATAACACAAGTGTCTGTCTTTGCTTTGTCTTAGATATAAACTGCTACATGTTTTAGAGTTTGATGCTAACCGCAGGAGGATGAGCGTCATACTGCAAACTCCTTCAGGTAACTCCACTTCATACTACTTTGTAACGTCTGAAAATCAACTCAGCTTTTTTCTATTCATTTAAAAAGGTATATCTAAAGTAATTGTGTTGTATACTTTCTAATCTTTCTTCCTGGTTTCTTGACTTTTTAAGGAGGCCAAGTACTGTTCACCAAGGGAGCAGAATCAGCCATCTTGCCTTTCACCACCAGTGGTGAGATAGAGAAGACCAGACTGCACGTCGATGAGTTTGCCTTGGTGAGAAATCATTTTTCCAGAAGTTATTAAAATGTGAATATTGTCTTAATCGTGAGTTTATTTTTACTATTACTGCTGTAATATACATCAAATCAGTGGGTAATCAAATATGCTTCCTAAACTTAAAGGCTTTATATGCGATTTTTTGATCCAGCAGATGTCGCCCTTGAGCACCAGCATGAAACCAAAACAACTCGCGCTGCATTGTTGTGTTAGCATGCTAATGCTAGCGATATTTATTATGCTGGTATCTTCACACTGCATGTAAATTTACCTGAAATGAGCGTGATCTAGAAACACAGTTAAGCAGTGAGTACAGTATGTTATTCTTCTTTTCTCTAGTCCCTCAATTAAACAACTTTTATACACGAGGGGAGGAGTCAGCCGGCCGTCCTGGCGATGTAAACAAAGTGAAGATAGGACTCTGAAAACTCTGAAAACATCACAGACAGTGGGACTCTGGTGTTACACCCATTGTAGACAGTCATGACTCACAGAGTTATTTTCAGAGGATGTACTTGATTTATATTACATTTAAGTGTGAAAAATCACATATAAAGCCTTTAACAAAAGAGTACTTGACTGATTCTGTAAGATAAAAAGGACCGTATACATGCTGTATATAGACTTTTGAGCTCATTAAACTATCATTATTATTCATCTTTACCCCTCATAAAGGAGGGTAACAAGCAGACATTTCAGATTCTTTGCAGAAAAAAAAGTAGACTTTTATACATACCACACTCGGTGACCACACTGAGTTCCCTCACTTAAGAATTCCTCTTCAACCTTTACGTGAAACCTTTAGAAATCGTACTCTGAAATGCCTCTTTTTTTGGTATTATTCACAAGTGCGCGTCTCTGTGTGTGTGTGTGTCTGGCATTTCACAGCGTTATAGTGATTACTTTCGGCTCTTTCGTTCTCAGTTCCCATTAGACTATAAATTCTTCACTACAACAGCCATTCACCCAAATGCATACACACAGACACACACACACACACACACACACACACACACACACACACACACACACACACACACACACACACACACACCCGGTTCCAACATCATGTCATTGGACATCAGTACCCAGGACTCTGTGCTCTGGACTGGGTTGATTTGTGGTCGTCTCCCCCTTAGGCTGGTTACGTGATTTAAAGCTGAGCTTTTATAATTTGTTTTTCTGTTCTTTCTCTCTCTGCCTACATTGCTCCCTTTTTCCTTTCCCCTTTATTATCCACATTTTCTTGAGTTCCTCACATTTACCCCTCCTCTCTATGCACATCTTTTCTTTTAACATGAACAATTTCTATGTCAGTGTAACCATTCATTCTAGTTATTTCTTTAATCTATTATATATTCTGACTCTTGTTCTTTTCTCTGCCCTTTCTTTACCCCCCCTCCTGCCACTGCAGAAAGGTTTGCGGACTTTGGTGGTAGCATGTCGCCACTTCAGACCGGAGGAGTACATCGATGTGGACAGGCGTCTGAACGCCGCCCGCACTGCGCTGCAGCAGAGGGAGGAGAGACTGCAGGAGGCCTTCAGCTACATCGAGAAAGACTTGCATCTGCTGGGAGCAACGGGGGTGGAGGACAAGTATGGAGACTAATGAATAAATTGGAATTTATTAGTGTTATCCCCTAAAAAATCTGTTCTCATGCCCTTCTTCAAATTTTAATGATTTATAAGTGTTTCATGCCCAAAGGAAATCTTGTAGTGAAGCAGTACATTCTTAACAGAGAGCATAAGGCAGTAAGAAGTAGCACCAAAACATTCTAACATGTGAACTAATGCATACACAGAAAGTTCAAATTCAAATGTATGCTAAATCAAGCGATCAAGCGATGCAGTATGAGAATACAGTGTGGTGGTTTGCATAAAATCAAATCCACTTCATAATAAATGTGATGGTTATAAATTGCCCAGTAACATTGATACTCAACAAACAGTTGATGTAAAATTATATAACTCGCATGTTTTTACCATGTGCTGCCTCAGGCTTTAGGTAAATAACATCTCGTCTCTGCTTAGATAAAACATATGTTCTATTTCTGCATGGTTAGCTTTCACAACAATCCATATAAAGTTTCCTGGATTTACATTTCCCTTCCTCGTCTCCATCTTCAGCCGTGTAGCAACTTGGCTGTGCAGAAACAATGTTGACCTCCACGGCTCCACGGCTCCACGCAGGCCAACAGTTCTTTTCCCCTGGTGAAACGTCTTGATGAATTTAAGATTATTTGCCTTTTTTCTCAAAAATATGGTGGTATAGGTTGAAAAACAAAATCTATGATTTGGTTGATCATAGCCATCATCACTCAAATACTTAGTTTTATTTGTTATTATTTTTAACCCTGAGGGTCATTTAAACTTTTCACTCTGACATGCCACACACAGGCCAGAGAGCCAAAAACAGGATCTGCCGACATGCATTACTGCAGAGACATTAAGGGGGCTGCACAGGGTCTGGCACCATGAGTAGTTCGGGTTTAGGTGCCTTACTCAAGGTCACTTCATCAGTGCTTGGGGAGTGGACTGGCACCTCTCCAGTAAAAGTCCTAATTTCCATACTTGGTCCACACGAGGTATTGATTCTGTGATCTTCTGGTCACTGCTGTGGCTAGATGTATTCTCCCAGAGCTAGTAGTGGCTTGGCTGCTGACACTGAGTTTTTTCTCTTACAAGCAGTAAGCTTTTTGATGATACAGTAACATAAATAGGAGTTGCACTTAAAAAGTAGGTAACCAAACTAAATAAGTATTATGTTGCACTTAATACTTATTTAATTTGAACCAAAATAGTGTGTTTTTTTCCTCTCACTTAAACCCCAAAAATAACAAAGATAGTTAACATACTGTGCAGGAGGAGGCAGAGAAGTCATTTGAAGACTCCGCCTGATCAATGTTGCCATGTCACAGAATTTAAGACACACATAATTGACATGCAGAAAATACACATTAATACCTTTAACTAATACATCCAGTAACAGCATAGTTCAAAGCAGAAGCAGAAAATGCAAATATGAGGTTTATGATAAGCAGGGTATCACATGCACATGTTCAGTGACAGATAAAACAGCAAGAGGCAGAATCTCCAACAAACAGTATTAGTCAGCAGAAAAAGGGAGTCGTCACCTCGCTGGGCCTCTCTGTAAATCAAAGCTGATATGTGTTTGCATTCGCTCACCATCTGCTCCTCACATAAGCTTCTCACTTCACTCGCTCTGTTTATCTGTCTGCTGCTCCCTCCCTCTCTCTCTTGCTCTCTCTCTGTCTCTCTCTCTCTGTCTGTCTGTCTATGTCTCTCTCTCTCTCTCTCTCTCTCTCTCTCTCTCTCTCTCTCTCTGTCTGTCTGTCTGTCTATGTCTCTCTCTTGCTCTCTCTCTGTCTCTCTCTCTCTCTGTCTGTCTGTCTATGTCTCTCTCCTGCTCTCTCTCTCTCTGTCTCTCTCTCTCTCTCTCTCTCTCTGTCTGTCTATCTATGTCTCTCTCTGTCTCCTCTCTCTGTCTCTCTCTCTCTCTCTCCCTGACTTTTCTCTCTGCTGCTCTCTCTCTCTCTCTTTGCTGCGCTCTCTCTCTCCCTCTCTGCTGCTCCCTCTATCGCTGTCTCTCTCTCTCGCTGATTTTTTTCTCCCTGCTGCTCTGTCTCTGTAACTGGAGTGAATTTCTCCTCAGGCACACATGGTCATAATCAAAAGACTTCCTTTATTATGAAAGACTCGCCTTAAATTACATTCTGTCTGAGTCTTATATGAATAATGTGAAACTGAGATCTATGTTTTTATTTAATTCTTTAGTAATATTAACTGTGCTCCTCTTATCAGACGTGATAACATGAAGGCAGAAATAGACACAATGAGCCTTTGTTTCATTTGTTGCTGCTAAAGAAGTCAGTTCAAACGATGAATACCAATTTATCTAACCAGGATGAGAGACATTTCATTTTGGCTCTTTTGTTTTGAAGCAGGTTAGTCCATACTCATGGACTTTATATTAGTTATATAACAACAGCTTTAAGAAATGTTGGATTATTCATGAGTAAGTTTTGAATTATTTAAACTGTTGATTACTTACAATTCTCAAGGGCTTGACCACCTCACAGCCAAACATTCAAACACAAGAAGTTGCCAGATTCTTTATCAACTTACCCAAAACAGGTCTTTTCTTTGGGTTCATGTTACCTTACATCCGGCCTACTGTGATAACGTGTAGAAAAAACCTAATTGCTTGAATCTTTTTTAATACAGTATGTTTACATACAAGATTACATGGCTTAAGTGTTTCTCTCTCCCTTGTCTCCCTCAGACTCCAAGACAAGGTCCAGGAGACCATTGAAGCTCTGCGGCTGGCAGGGATCAAAGTATGGGTGCTGACAGGGGACAAATCCGAGACTGCAGTCAGCGTCAGCCTGTCGTGTGGCCACTTCCACAGAACCATGAACATCCTGGAGCTTCTGCAGCAGCGCTCTGATAACGAGTGTGCCGAGCAGCTCCGCAGACTAGCCAGAAGGTGAGTGTTTGTACGATTGTAACTTCAGGCTATAGCACGTAGACAGTGTCTTAACGGCCCTCTCAAAGCTCAATATTCATTCATTCAATTACATTTCATCTCCTAAGGTGTTTGGTATTGGGGTTTTTTTTTGCATCAGGGGGTATCTGAAAAGGTTGTAGCTCAAATAAAACAAAAGCATATTTACATTTAATATGAAATAATTGACATTCAACACCTATAAGCTGCACATTTTTGTGATCCTGGTCCTTAAAATATATTTTCTGACTAACCAGTAACTTTAAGCTGTCCTGTAATAACCGCCCATTCACAAATTAATTCCTGACAATTTCTGGAAATGTTCAGTACAGCCTGCAGCAAAACATTTTCCACAGTTACTCTTTCACACTTGACCCTCCCAACAGGAGATTTCCCCTGTGTTAGTGAAGAGGGGACATAACATAAAGGATGCTGCAGAAGTCGCAGTGTAATGTTCAAAATGTATCCAAGATGGCAGACGAGTCCAACACTGTGACAGTGTTTGCCTTTATATCAATTTGACATATAGCCAGTATCAGAAAAGAGTGGAGGGAACATATTGGCATTTAGCCTCAAAAGGTGCATATAGATCGAACGGGTATCTCACAGATAGCATGAGCAAATTTATCATCCCTTCCTACTCACTTTTTGTACATTTTCCTAAATACAACCTGCTTTCATGCATCAGATCATCTTGAATTCTTATGAACATTTTATTCAAGGGCTTGCAGGTAAAACTCCAGATAAAATAATGGTGAAAATTAGGTTGTTTACGTCCACACATTCAGTGGAGTGAAGAACATTTAATACTTTTTATTGTCATCATGTCTTAACATAGAGTACACATTTTATATTCAACATAAGGATGACAATATTTTACATTTTTATAAGTGGTGTGGTGTCAAAAAGATTGTGTCCCTCAGTGATGTGGAAATACTAAAAATAACACTTAGAATACAGAAACATGTATTACAGTTTGTTTAAAGTAACTTGAACTCAAACTGAGATTGGATCCGTATTGCATAAATTCATGAATTTTTCCCGCCGTCACAGTCAATCACCTTTTTAAGGAAGGGCAAACAAAAAAATGAGTTATATAAAATGAAAGAATAAATTAAAAGAGAAAGAAGAGAGAAAGAGAAAAAAAAAAAAAGGCATGGCATAAGTTTGACATCTTAATCACCACAAGCTGATTTTATTTGTGGAATTTTCTTCCTCTCTATCTTTTATCATATTCATTTCTTTTCTGCATTGCTCTTTCTAATCTTCTTCTTTCTAGGATAAAGGAGGACAACGTAATACAGCACGGGTTAGTGGTGGACGGGGCCAGTCTCTCCTTAGCGCTGAGGGAGCACGAGAAACTTTTTATGGAAGTTTGTAAAAACTGTTCAGCTGTGTTGTGCTGCCGCATGGCCCCGCTGCAGAAAGCTAAGGTACTAGTCCTCTTCAACACACACATTACATAAACAACAATCCAATACATCTCACGCTCAAGATGTCAATGGTGACTTTGTTCTCTCCAGGTGGTTCGTCTTTTAAAAACATCTCCAGAGAAACCCATCACTTTAGCGATTGGCGATGGAGCCAATGATGTCAGTATGATACAGGAAGCTCATGTTGGCATAGGTAAGCACTTACAGGTCCCACATTCTATATTCTCTTTGATTATTTTCTGCAGTGTGTCCACAATATAAACGTTTTTTTGTGTATGCATTTGCCTTCAGGTATCATGGGAAAGGAGGGTCGTCAGGCCGTGAGAAACAGTGACTATGCAATTGCCAGGTTTAAGTTTCTGGCTAAACTACTGCTGGTCCACGGTCACTTCTACTACATTCGAATAGCAACACTTGTACAGTACTTTTTCTACAAGGTAAAACAGCATCTATTTCCTCTAAAGTATAATGTCAAGTATTTAGAGGTTGGATAAAGGCGAGATCTTCCTGTCACACATGAAATGATGAAATAGTGCTGCAGGTAGAATTTCAATTCTAATCTATAAATGTGTCCTTTTCTGGATTTAGGGATTAGTTGATTCATCTGTTCAGTTTTAACAACCCAGATGTATTAGATTCACTGTCAGAGAGTTTAAAAAATGTTACAAAATGTCAAACAGCAAGCACATCTGAAAAGATGAGTACTGGGTGCTGGACCAAAAACATATCCAAAGACGGAGGAAGAGTAAGTCTGCACTAAAGAAGCTGCTCCAGTTTCCATTTCATGAGAATTATAGTACATGTAACATTTCAGGCCCTCGCCTTTCGCTCATGTCTGATGAAGGGTGAGGGCCCGAAATGTTACATGGTTATTATTCGTGGTTATTATTCCTATTAAATGTTAATTTGAGCGGCTTCAGGTGTACAGAGTTAGTCTTTCTCTGTCTTTAGAAAGCAAAAAGCTGCAATACACTCACAGATAATATATTTTTAAAAACCAATCAAATAGATTGTTTCATTTTCAAAAACAGTTTTATAGAATTTATTACAAGTTATTTATAGAAAGATGAATGCTTACAGCTCCGTTATAGATTATATTTTAGATTATAGATACTGGATTTAACATTTTCTGTTAACAAGACTTTTTTCAATCCATGTCGCCTTTTCAAACGTTTTTAATGTTTCTCTCGTTCACTCTGTCTTTTCTAGAATGTGTGTTTTATCACGCCCCAGTTTTTATACCAGTTCTTCTGTTTGTTTTCACAACAAGTAAGTCTATTTATCTCTCCCCTCTCTCCGCTCTCTCATGTCATTGTATGATTTGTTTGTGCATGTGGTGTTACACAGTCTCTCTTTCTTTGCTTTATAAAATGCCTTTCTGAAATATTTTAAATTTGACGCTCAACAAACTTCAATTAGTTTCTGTTCTGACTTTAGCTTTATTCATAGAGTCTGTTAAAGTTGCCCCAGGCCTCTCAAACTGTCATAATAACATTTAGAATTTAAACTTTCAAACATGTATAAGACTTTGTTAATAAAATCTCTTACATGTCTTGTGTCAGATTATGGTCCTGCCATTCCTTCTCCTCTGTGGAACTGTGATGATTAAGCTTTTGTTTTGAAATGAGGTCATCGGAGTTCGGTTCATCGTTTCAGCTCATAGGTTGGTGTTGAGTAAAGTGCTGTCTCTGTCCCATCCCAGACTCTGTATGACAGTGTTTATCTGACACTCTACAACATCTGCTTCACATCGCTGCCCATCCTGGTGTACAGTCTGTTTGAGCAGCTGGTCCATCCACACATTCTGCAGAGTAAACCAGCCCTGTACAGGTAGGCTTACACGGACTCTGTAGTAGAGTTGTTGTCTCAATACTGAGAAAATGTATATGATATAATTCTAGTAAAAAAAAAATCTAACAATATTGATACCTGTTTCGTTTCCACGTCAACAAAATACAAGTCTGAAAACCGAATATTGGGTAAACTCTTGTTTTTATTACAAATAATTTCAGGTTAGCTTGGACACACTGTACATTGCATAAATACGTTAGCGACATTAGCCGATGTATCTCTGCAGTTTAGACGGTGCTCTCTCTTTTTTTGCTTTTTTTATAGGCTCTCTACTTTTTTGTACTTTTTTGTTTCTCTGTAATTCATATGGCTAGGTATTATCAAGAACATCACAATTCAATTGGATTTAGATTATTTGGGTCACTATTCAAAATCGGTTCAATTTGATATTGATATATATTTGTGAATTTATTTATTTTAATAGGGACAATGCAATTTAACATAATTTCAATACAAAGCATGAAACTGATGTGCTGCATAAAGAGTATATAGCTATTGCTAATTTCCAACTCATGACCCCAGTTGGGCCTTTGATGCTTTGATATTAATTCACTAATACGCATAGATGGCAGAAATACCCAGATTATTGTTAATCGATCTTTAATAAAATCAAACAATGTATGAAACATTTTTAGAATCACTCGGTAAATTACTATTGATTTTTTTTTTTTATCATATTGAAACTTAAAGTTTGCTTGGATGGATTAAACACATCCTCTAACACCTAAAATGTTTTTTTTGCCTCACAGGGACATCAGCAAGAACTCTCTGCTGTCTTTCCGGACGTTCCTGTACTGGACTCTGCTGGGCTTCTGTCACGCCTTTGTCTTCTTCTTCGGATCCTACATACTGATGGGAGAGGACACCACACTCATGGGGAATGGACAGGTGTGTGTGTGAGGTGTACTCTATCTTTATACTCTGTACAAGACAAAAGTTAACTGCTGAGAGTTTTTTGCAAAGTGAAAAGATGTTCAGGAGCTAGATGGTTAGTTAGAAAGGAAGCAGAGAACCGCAGTGTGTGTGTGTGGTAATGAGTTATTGATGGGCCTGGCCTCATTTCTTCCATTAATCAAACCTCCTTTCCTTCAGTCTCTTTCCATTCTGTCTTTTTGTCTAACAGTCTTTATTCGGTCTGTTTGTGTATATTGCTGTGCCGGCATGTATGTCGTTCCCTTGGTCATGAGTAACTAACATCTTTGTAATTTTTTGTGTCTCCGGTCCTTTGCCAAACCTGTTTCCTTTTCTTTTCCTGCTGCATATCTCTGCTGTCCTCCTCTCTGTTTTGAAGTTTTGGTATTTGAAAAAAGCACTCACTCTTACTGCACCCTCTCGCTTGACTTTTTCTTCTTTCTTTTGTTGATTACTGTTTTCCTCTTCTGCCTTCACGCTGTGCATGTCTTCAGATCTTGCGAGCTAACAGGCAGCTGGTAAGAGTCTGCTCTTCAGTCTCAGAATGCATGTCTCCTTAGGGGTTTAATGAGAGGACCAGTTTACAGTTTCAAACATATACTCTGTTGTGTGTTTATATTTGGGCTCCTTTTCTTCAGTGGCATTCTTAACTATTCAAAATAAAACACAGACTTTTTGCCCCTTTTTAAAGACTTTAACGAGATGCAGAAAGATGGCGGTTATAAAACATTCATCAACTCTTTAGCCCAGATGATTCCTGTAATCAATTTTGAATCCTCCATTTATCCAGATTCAGATTTAGACAACTTTATTACTCCCAGAAGGGCAATTCAGTTCCACAGCCTACCGAGTGTTTGAAAGAAGTCAAGACAATCTAAAGGAAATAAACACAGTCACAGAGGCATTCAGATAATTGCATTCACATGGCAGTAACAACAATTCAACAGAGGAGTGGGTTTCCAAATGAGAAGCCAGAGCCAGAAAATCTAGAAATTCATGAACACAATGCCAGAAATGTATCTGATAAATGAATGGACCTTACAGGTTACCTCAGTGTGTAGTAGGAGTCCATTAAGTAAATAGAATTGTTCAACATTCAACATTCAAATTCTTATACTGTATTTGAATGTAAGGCAAGGAAACATGTAACAGTATGAACAGACAATGCAGTGTAAGAAAGCCAATGTTAACATTTAATGGCACAAACACACTTAAATATATGAGTGTGACAAAGATAAATGTAAATCCAAACAGATAGAGTCTAAACATGCTGCTGCCACACGTTTCCAATGTGTGCTCATCTTAACAGTGATTAGAATCAAATATTTCTTATGTAGTTTGTTTTTCTGAGCACTCAAAGATAATATTTGAATGCAGCCTTGTGCAGTTTGACACTTAAACATTTGTCTCATAGGCTGATAGATGCAGAGAGACTTTGTTCACAGCCCTTCGGCATCAACTAACTTGATTCAGGATTCATGATGTATGACCGGTTAGAATAACACAATTACAAGGATTATAATAAATGTTGACATTTTTTCTTTTCAGTTGAAAGCAGTTTGTAAAAGAGGGCACAGCTGAATGCTTGTTAAATATTAAAAAGATAATCGAGTGTTTTTATATACAAAGGCTAACACGAGAATATAAAAGGAAAACCCTGTTTTATTTGAGGCAGATATAAAATATATAACTTTCACCCTGACTGTCTCTTTGAATCATGAGTCCTCTCATGGTTGGTTGTCAGTGTTTGATCTCCAGCAGGGTCCTGAATTGCTTGCCAACAAAACAATGCCCCCCCCCCCAACTGCTCTCAACCTATAAGAAGAGTGATTCTTGTAGCGCTGGTGGAGCTTCAGACGGTTGTTACACAGTCGGAGGGCAAGGTCTCATTACAGGCATCGTAACACCTCCCAGGTTGTTAAAGGAGGTTGCTGCCTTTTAGAAGTTTTTTCTCTGTTCTTCAACTCGAACACAACCAAGCTCACCTAGTCTGACCCCCCCCCCCCCCCCACACACACAATTATGGCTTAGCTTGAGTATTTAATAATGATTTATAATCTTTAGAATTATAGAATCTTTCATTATTATCAGTAATTAACAAAAACAGCATGTTGTTGGTATCTATTATTTATTGTAAATGCCCCCCCAAAAAATCTCTCAAACTTGAGAGATGACCTGATATCTTGGTCATGATCACAGGAGGAACAAAGTATTTATTCGTTTTCTGAAACTTGACAACTGGAAGAAAATATTTCAACGTATCAAAGACAAATATAAACATCGTACAGTGATATAACCACTTAATTATATTTCTATTAATGGTAATTAAATAAAAATGTATATCCCGATGTAAATGTCTTGACATTTTTTTAAACAGTGATTTCTCTTCTTACAGATGTTTGGAAACTGGACATTTGGAACGCTGGTGTTTACCGTCATGGTCATCACAGTCACGTTAAAGGTAAATAACACCCAATCCTCTTAGGCTCCAATTTTAACACGATGATTATCAGCACATCTTTTCAGATCTGTGTAATTTGTCATGGATTCTTAACTTTAGCTATAGATTAGTATTGCCACAACCCCAGTATGAAAGTATTATCTTAACATTATTGTATTGTCTTTTTTGTCCTACTACAATTTTAAATATTCTTCTCCTATGTATTAATTTTTAATATCTTATTGCTTTTAAGTGTCATATTTTTTTTTCTTCATTTTTATACATATATTTTTTTAATTTTTATTGGTGTGCATTAGTCTCTCAGTGATTTTAAAAACTACTTCTTCGTCAGTAACTTTTCTGCACTCTTGTAAAGCACTTTGAACTGCAATTTAATTTGTCTGAAAGGTGCTATATAAATAAAGTTTGATTGATTGAAATACAGTGTGTTGTGAAGTATTAGGATGATGTCAGTGGTTATTATGAGAAGCCAATTTGTCCCAGGTTGGGGTCAAGGTTTATTTACCAGCAAGAGGACAGATTGGTGCAGTTTATTGATGCTCCACCTGTTCCCATCTCAGTGTTTTATAACTAGCGTTCTGTTCCCCCTGCTGTGTGTGTGTGTGTGTGTGTGTGTGTCTGTGTAACACCAGCTTGCTTTAGAAACTCATTTCTGGACGTGGATGAACCATTTTGTGACCTGGGGTTCAATCGCCTTCTACTTCATCTTCTCCCTCTTCTATGGAGGCATTATTTGGTAAGAAGCAGATCTTTCTCTGTACGCTCTCAAAGCTTTCATACTCAAACAAAATGTTTTTTGCTATGGTCTTGCATCGACTCAATCGTATTTGTAGGTGTGACAGAACACCTCTAAGATTAAACCTAAGTTGTGAAAATAAATAGTGAGAGTTCATGCAGCAGGTTCACTGAGAGAGAGCATTTCTGGCTATGGCTGTCTTGAAAAATCAAAACTTGAAAGTGAAATACTCAATTGAAAACGTTTCATTATCGTATAGTCTTGAAATCTCACCTTCATGCTTGATTTGAAATGCTTTAGATGTTTTCCCAGCCTTAAACCAACAACCTTCACCATTTCTGATTCTATGGTACCACGTTGTTATTTGATGATGCCTTAATGTTTTATAAAAAAATAAATAAAATAAAAAGGTACAGAAGTGGTTATTTATTCTGAGTCCTCCCTTCCCTTCCAATCTCTCCAGGCCGTTCCTTCACACCCAGGACATGTACTTTGTGTTTGTGCAACTGCTGTCCAGCGGTTCGGCCTGGTTCGCCATCATCATCATCATCATAACTTGCCTGTTTCCTGATGTGGTGAAGAAGGTCTTCTACAGACATCTGCAGCCCACCAGCACACAGAAGAGTCAGGTAACATATGGAGGGAGAATGTTTTATCAGAGAAGATGTTTATAACGAGGTCCATTCATTCCTCTAAAGTGAACCGTAAAAAAAGTAGAGGTACAGATATTCAATTCCAAATCAGATGGAATTTAAAGAGGCTCATTTAGTATTTATCTGTTTACTACCAAGACTTTTTCCTGTTGGCCTGACTCCAATGTTTAGTGTAGCCTCTCGCTAACATCAGTCCTCAATGACTGTTTTAGTCATTTTCTCAGTGATTCACTTGCCTGCATGTCGAGGTTGCTGTAAGTACTTTAAGAATGACTTATGTTTTGTTTTTCTCTCAGGTGTCTTTCCTTATCCCTGCTTTAAATTAAACCTAGTTTTGGTAATCTTGCATGTAAGAGCGAAACCTCCACAGGCTGTAACTTTGATTATTTAAGCTAACTTCGGCTAAACGTCTAAAACCAAAAGTATATCCATTTTGTTAAGATTATTTCATGATTTAAAAAAAAAAAGCTGAGATGCAGAATAAGATATGAATACAGAACAAAGTCCCAGAGAAATGTTCCTGTGAAACCCAAACGTTCATAGCAGCAGGCGTTCATTCAGTTTGAATCTCTTGTGAGGAACTTTCAGTTTTTCTCGATTCTGGCGCCCCCTGTGGACAAGGCAGTATGTCCTGTCTTTCTGGTCCTGGCATGTACATGTGTAAGTGTTCGGATGAAAAAATCTCATTACTGTCGAAGGTATCAGTCATCGTGAATCTTTGCTGTGGAAAATATAAACAAAGTTTCTGCAGTCTGCTGTATTTTTCTTCATTCGACACCAACCCAGTATCAGCACTTTAAGACGTACTGCATAGAAATGTTCAGTCTTGTCGCTTTAATCAAATACAGATCAGACGCAAGCTTCTTCTTTGTTGTATTCATCTAACCAATTATTCTAGTGGATTGAAAACCAGATTCTTGGTTTTGGTTTGTTTCTATAATATCTGGTGGTCCAGACTGGAAAGTAAAACTCATGAAACGTGATGAAAGGTCACAGGGGAGGTCAAACACATGCCAGTAGTTAAACTGTCTGGTGTGAAGTGTATAAGATTTATGACTTACACCTCGTACCTGGCTGTACCACAGAAATTATATTTCCTGTTATACGAGAGAAGCCTGAAGGGAGAAAAATAAATGAAATGTCACCGTAACTCTGGTCAGGGGGAAATGCTCTCTGTGGTCACATTGTTTAAATGGTTCATTATTTTCTCTGTGTTACCCACGTCTTTACAGGAACTGCATGCTGTTCTGTTTCACACACACACACACACACACACACAGCTTGACTTCCTGACCTCCTGCACACACATATAAACAGAGACTCAGTGTGCATGGTCACCTCAGAGCAGACCACTGCTGACACTGCATTGATTTATCCAGCGTGAGACTGTTTCTACTTTCCTCCTCTCAAACTCTCCTCTTGTTTCTCAAGGAAAAAAAAACAAAAAACAATCCGATGGTGTGTTTGTTGAATCTGCTCTAACCTTTGTCCTGCTCTGTTTGATTTGAAATCTAACCTCTCTGTGTGTCTGTATATATTCTTCCTCCACTTTTTCCTGTTTATTCTCACGGTGTAGATGTATTCCAACCGAGTGGCGATAGGTGATGACTTCATCGCTCTGCAGCCTCTGTCGAGAGCCAAGAGCCAGCTGGGCAAAATTAGGTAGTTGAGATGAGACTTGATTCAACCTTGAGCTTCTTATTACATCGAAAACAAATCCATCAGAAATAAACATGTTTCTCAGGAGTGCTTGTTCAAAAGCAATAATTCTACATCAAAAGTTGTTGGGGATGCGTCTGAAGACTTCTGTGAAAAAGTCAGCTAATATCTATACTGGCCTCTTCTTTTTCTCTCCATTTCAATTCAATATCATTTCTGTTAGTTTGGAAACACACATTACACTTTTAGAAACCAACAAGGGCTGGTTTTCTCACCTTTATCAACACCTTAAGCAATCATTTTTAAATGTGTCAAATGAAATGGCATAAAGATGTCACTGTTCAGTAACTCAGCGATACGAGAAGGTCATTTGAGGTCAACATTTTTACCAATATCTTCTCTAACATGGCACGTAATAAAGCCATAAATACAATACTATGCTAATGAATACTACCCAAGACATGATGTCCCTCGGAAATTTGAAATGAATTGATTCCTCACTCAACACTACAGTAATTATTTGTTGTGTAAAGGATACTTCATTTTAAAAGTTGTATGTCATATATTAAAAAAAATGTTGTAAACTTTATTGAATACTTGCTTTTCAGTATCAATACAGCCCTTAAGATTATTTTCCAAATCAGGGTTAAAATGTAAATCCCAACATCACAGGGCGGGTCTTATAAAAGTAGAAACATTGTTTTATGAAACAAGCACTCCAATTCAAAATGATTCAGAATCAGGTTATTCTTTCTCCCAGGTCCGGACTTAGTCCTACCCGAGCCTCTTTCTAACACTGACAGTACACTGATCCTGTGATGTGTGTTGTTACTGTTAAAACTGTTTCTTTTGTGTTCATGTCTGTGACTGCATGCACTGGACAAGCCAATCAGCATTCTCCATGATTGGAACGAGGGGAGGGGGGGTTGGTTTAATGATAAGTTGAAGATGATGCAAAGGATTGTGACATCAGGCATTCCAGCCTCTGCATGTGTTGCATCTTTAGTTTGAGACCGGCAAAGATCATTTGTTTTGGGAGACCTCCACCCCTCCTGCCTGTCACTGTATGGCCCTTTACTTCCATCGCTGCATGATTAACCCTTTGGATGAATGAATGGATGAATGTAAAATCAGGCTGACATCTTCTTTAAAATTAGTGTATACTCTTCCCTATGCACTTATTTTAATATGATAGCAATTGTATGACACAGGGACCTCATTAGGGGGGGCCAAGGTGGTCATTTATGAGGCACTGTTCTGACTGCGACATCCTGCATCTGCAATAGTGACTATTCAGAGCATCAGGTCAGGCTCCTGACATCAGCCTGTGGTTTTGTCATACAACCACAGTCTGGCATGCCACACTCATGTGGATTCACCACTTCACACCTTCCTCACCTTGGAGTTGTTTGCCTGCATGGTTAGAGTCGACCCACAGAACAAGACTTCACACCTCACCCCTCTGCATGATAGACCCTTTGAACTGCTTTGTGCTGTCTTCTTCAGCAGCATGATGATGTTGTCCTGTAAGCATGATGGACGGCTGGGTTATTTTTTCACTGATGACTTGAGGATCTTGTGCAGATCTTAAACAGCCCACAAGGGGTAAAATAGTAACCAACCATAGGATGAGCTTATTGTTGAAGGGAAAAAACACCAAAGGGTAAAGAAATCTTGATCCTGGACAGCTTTTTCCCCGTCTAGTTCTCATGAAGAATATTCACGAGCCTATAGTTTTTATTATGCTCTTGTGCAACATTTGAAGATCATGTGAATTACGCTTGTGTCATGTGAAGGGCTACTACTGTTTTGTTTGGTTAAATTGAAGACAATTAATCAGAAATTAATTGAATAGCCAATTCAGTGTTTCAGAAATGTATCAAGCAAGAACGATAGAGGAGTGCTTGCATTTCTTTATCTGTACAGTGCTATGGCATGCTAATCCTGATGCTTCTGTAGTTGTTGCTGGGAAATGCTATTATGTATTGAAAAATATTTTTTATATTTATAGTTATTAGCAGCACACTGAAAGTCTTTAAATGTGATCTTTCACACTAAAATGTGAAGTATATCCTCTGAAAATAACTCTGTGAGTCATGACTGTCTACAATGGGTGTAACACCCGAGTCCCACTGTCTGTGATGTTTTCAGAGTTTTCAGAGTCCTATCTTCACTTTGTTTACATCGCCCGGACGGCCGGCTGACTCCTGCCCTCGTGTATAAAAGTTGTTTAATTGAGGGACTAGAGAAAAGAAGAATAACATACTGTACTCACTGCTTAACTGTGTTTCTAGATCACGCTCATTTCAGCTAAATTTATTTGAAGATACGAGCATAATAAAGATCGCTAGCATTAGCGTGCTAACACAACAATGCGCCGCAAATTGTTTTGGTTTCATGCTGGTGCTCAAGGGCGACATCTGCTGGATAAAAAAAAAAATGCATATAAAGCCTTTAATTTCTAGTTTCTACACAAAACCAATGTGTTTTAAATGAACAGGCTTTGCTTATGAAATCTTAATGCTCATTTACTGTTTTAGAGAGGTGTTGACAAAACTATACAAGCTGTTTACTCTTGACATTTTTAGCACCCAATTCATATCAATAGACACACCTCAAATACCATTTTACCCAAATCGAAACATTGCGACCTTCGTAAGTGGGTGGGGGGTTATTTGCAGTAGTTTTGACAAGGTGAAGCTAAAACGCTGGGAACTAAGTTTATATTCCTTCCAATTAAATCAATGAGCAGAAACGAAGTGCCGTCTGAAGGAGGACAAAAAGCACATTATGTAAAACAGATCTTGTGTACTCAGTTTGAGTAAATTGAGTTTGAACCGGTAGAACTACACAAGATGCTCTTACCAGGTTCACAAACAGAGCATGCGTTCATGCTAATGTGACGTATAATGGAGTTTTCTGTTCTGATGAAATCATTCCAGTGTCATTCAAAGTCTCTCTCTTTTTTTTTTTTCCTAATTAGATTAGAGGGAGGTAATCACAACAGAAGCCACAGGCTCTCCTGGGCTTTCTGTTGTTTTTCTTCCTCTGAAGCTTTGATAGATTCACCAGCAGGTTAATTGGTTTGGATGCTAACAGATTTGCTCTTATCTGCACTAGAAGGATCAGTTTCCCCTCGAGACATCTTTTCCTGCAGCCTGCAGCTTTCTCCTGCTCATTTGTTGCTCAATTTTTTACTTAAGTTTCGAGGCTTTATACCATCCTGCTCACCAATGTGTTGAATTGTGACTGCTTCTGTGAGAAAAGTAAAGCCCTCCTCCAGTGACCTCATCACCCGACTCAGATCAACTAATGCC